CCTTAGCTTCATCCCCCCCGTAAACTCAGACCACGGCGGAGCTGGTGGGCGTCCACGGCGGAGATGAGAGCAAACCACTCGAAAACAAGTTCCCACCACCACCACCGCCGCCACCGGAGTCATGATCGGAATCTTGAAATCCTTTGAACAAAATATCATCATCATCATCGTTCATGATCATATCATTTGATATCATAAGATTAATATTGTTCTCTTCTTCCGCCATCTCCACGTCTTTCTCCGCCGTCGCAGCTCCACCTTCCATTAACGGAGTGTTGGGAGAAAAACTCGAGCCAGAGGCGGCCGCCGCGGCCGGTGGTGGTGAAGATGATGAGATCGAGCCGCTCTTCTGATGATGTGAAACCGCCGCGTTGTTGTTGTTGTTACTGTTTTTGGCGGTGGCTGTTGAAGAAGATAGTTTGCTCCGGGTGCTGCCGGCGAGTGAGCTCCGGTGAGTTGGCCGTGGATGTGTGTGCTCGCCGGTGTACGAAACCACAAAAATCCCCGGATCGTTTGGGCTGCGCTCCACCTGTTTTCTGGCGGCGCATCCTTTTGATGTGCTGCACCGGTAGTAGTTTCTGGTGGTTGAAGTGAAATAAATGATAAGATTAAATTCAATTTAAAAATCCAATTATTAAAAAAAAAAAAAAGAAGAAAAAAAAAAAGACAACCTCGGATATGGAGATCCTTTAATGGGTTTCTGACCGTACTTCCGCCATGCCCAAGAATCAGCGGACAGCTCTTCTTGTGTCATTTGACGCACCATTTTCATCTGCTGGTTTTTCCTGCCAATATTAATTAATTAATTTACATCATTTTTTTATTAATTGCGCAACAATAAGAAAAAGTAGGATATATAATTAATATATATACCTTCTTCGTGGTCTTATTGGCTGCGGATTAATGGCGGCTGGAAAATTGTGAGAGGAGGAAGAAGAACCAGGCCTATGATTATTATTATTATTATTAAATTGTATATTCTCTTGACTGTGCTGTGGAGGTTTTATTTGCGCAATTTCTTGACGTGGTTGAAAGAAGTTGGCCGAAGGATTAGCGGAGATTGCCCAGTTAGTGTCGGCGGCGATATCCGCCGCCGGAGCAGTGGTCGTTTGCGGCGGCGGCGGCGCGTCGTCGTCGACGCAGAATTCCTGGTAGATTTCTCGCAAGCCCTGAAAAGGGTCGCCGTTTGTGTCGTCGACGACGAGATCGGGAAAATCAAATGAGGTTTGGTCGTCGTGGAAAGACATGTATGAGAAGCTGGGAAAAGGGTCGTCATTATTTGCGGCGGCGGAGGCTGTGTTGGTCGACACGGCGGCGGCGGCGCATCCTCTCACCACCGCGTGCAGATCCCAGTCATCATCCATCACGGAAAAAAGGAAATGTTCTCTGTTTAATTATTCCTCCGTTTTGTTCTTCTTGGTTACAAAAGATGGCGCTGACTTTTGCAAAGCAATAAATATATATATATTATATGTCACTGTGTGTTGTGTGTGTGAGTTTCACTGTACACATTTATATATATATAAAGAAAATGAAGGATGAGAGAGAGAGAGAGAGAGGTGGTGGTGGTGGAGCACTCTTTGTAATTGATATATATTCGTCAAGTTTGATTTCTTTTTGCCTTTTATCATTTAGCAGCAAGATTTGTTAATCATTCATGCACAAGAAAAAAAATCAAAGATCTTTTGCCCCCACAATCCTACATGGTTTAAAAGGCAAGTGGCTTCTTCTAGGGTTTTTTATCGCAATATTAACTCTTTCCTTTTATATTGACTTTTTCAAATTGTCAAAAGTGGGCCCATTTCTTCTTCTTTTTTTAATCATTTCGGTTCATGCAATAATACCAATTATATTCTACAATTAAATATCTATAAATTAATACAGTCGGGACTAAGCACAATACTATTAATTTAGCGAAATATTAAATATAAATTACATATTTTATCGAGTCGGGACCTGACGAAATTATTATTTAACCGATGTTATTAATTTATCGAAATTATATTGTATATTGTTATTCAAACACTTCTCAATTGTTTCTTTTTGTATGGTGGCCATCTTTTTCATACAACTTGACACCAATGCTATAATAAGATAATGGCCAATGGATGGTTTCAATTTTTAGGAACTAATTTTATATATGGTTAAAGTTTATTATCCATTTCGTAACAAATATACACCAAATTTAATCCAAAGTTGTAACTTCTCCTAAACTAGTGAGCGTACAATAATGATTTTGGTCAGGGGTAAATTTGGAATTTCAGTTGAGGAGTTCATTCATCTTTATGTATTAAATATTATCCCTTTTTGCTGCTGCTCCGATAAAGGGAAAACTCATTAATGAAGTTTTCTGTTTATGGTGTTATAGAATAGTGCTTTAAATTGCTTTAAATTTCAAGCTAGTGAATAGAATTATATATTTAATTATATATCAAATCCAATTAATAATCTAGTACATAGAAGTTAAAACTAACCAATTTCATCAATTACACCTGGAACATTTCAAACTCATGATCTTACTCTTAATGAAAGAGAGGGTTAGTTCTGTTTGAACTCGGTTTCATAAGAAATGGAATCGATTTCGATTTTCGAAACGAACTTTAATCGAGTCGAACAAGAATCGAAACAATTTTATTGATTCTTGATTAAAGCCCAACTTTTTTTGCTGTTATTACAACAGTCCTATTTAAATTTGTGTGTGTCCATGATTTAGAGAGATGGGACAATATATATAGATATGTAATTGGCGGGATTGTGGGTTTTGGCAGGAAGACAGACCAAACAATTGACTGTGAAAAGTGAAGCACCTATTAACCTAGTTGCTTCTCAAAAGGATCTCTCTTTTTTTTTTTCTTTTCTTTTTTAAATATAATTTACTTATTTATTTTGCTTAAATCAATTGGCAAACAAAAAACAAAAAAAAAAACAAAAAGAAAATCCCCCATCTCCAATCTTTTTTCCACTTCAGTTTCCATCAATCAATCTTCTTACTTTACCACACCCATATCAACTTGGAGAAACAAACAAACAAAGAGATCACTATATACTATATAGAGCCACTTTATAGTGTGAGGCTAAAAGCCACCACTACGCACTTAAACGAAAACACATTTTCTCGAATGACTCAGATTTGAATTTTCTTGCCAACGATCGCTAGGTTAGTCTAGTGTAATTTACGTTTCTCGAACGATTTGCAATTATTATACGAGAGTGTAGGCTTATTCAGTGCACATTACTTGGTTACAAAAAGAAAATAAAGAAGGCATTTTGATGGAACACAAATTTTAAATGACGGAAAATTACTTAAAACATGACTCTAATATACATATATTACTTTTTTTGCTAATTAGTAATTACTCTCTTAATACTAGTAAATTAATTACTCCTATTTGATTATATTGTCATTTCTGTTACCCTTTGTGGAGTGGCTAATGAACCAATTTACGTTTTCCAATTTCAAGTTTGACTTTAATCAATATCGCATCACATTATACATACATTTCTCAATGGTGAAAAGTTAAGTCAAACATCCAATTAGAGTCAATTTTAGAGCCCAAATGTTTAGATTGTGATGTTCCTCAAGTAATCATATATTGGTAGACCTAACATTAGAATCTACAAGTGGCTTCTATCCTATTTCTTGCATGCACTACAATTGAAATGAATATATATATATATATATATATATATATATATATATATATATATATATATATATATATATATATATATATATATATATATATATATATATATATATATATATATATATATATATATATATATATATATATATATACATATATATATATATATATATATATATATATATATATACATATATACATGCGTACTTACATGCATACGTATATACGTACATATGCATACATATATGCTAATACTTGCTTTTTATATTTGAGTATATGTGTGTGTGTGTCCGAAATGTGTGTGTGTGTTATGCAAGTTGGATTTATTTATTTAAATAAATTAGTACTAATTGTGCATGTCTTTCAACTTGGCAAATTACCATCATTTCCTCTAAATT